AGACAAGGTACATACATCAGGCCGGGTGCGGTGGCTCAAGCCTGTAATCTCAGCACTTTGGGAGGCCGAGACGGGCGGATCACGAGGTCAGGAGATCGAGACCATCCTGGCTAACGCGGTGAAACCCCGTCTCTACTAAAAATACAAAAAACTAGCCGGGCGAGGTGGCGGGCGCCTGTAGTCCCAGCTACTCGAGAGGCTGAGGCAGGAGAATGGTGTAAACCTGGGAGGCGGAGCTTGCAGTGAGCTGAGATCCGGCCACAGCACTCCAGCCTGGGCGACAGACCTAGACTCCGTCTCAAAAAAAAAAAAGGCACATACATCACTTGTAGCAGATTCAGAGCATTTCCCAAATGATTTTGCGATTACTCTTTTTTTTTTCTTTTTTTTTGTTTTTTGTTTTTTGTTTTTGAGATGGAGTCTCGCACTGTCACCCAGGCTGGAGTGCAGTGGCAGGATCTCGGCTCAGTGCAACCTCCGCCTCTTAGGTTCAAGAGATTCTCCTGCCTCAGCCCCCAGAGTAGCTGGGATTACAGGTATCTGCCACCATGCCCGGCTTTTTTGTATTTTTAGTAGAGATGGGGTTTCACCATGTTGGCCAGGGTGGTCTTGAACTCCTGACCTCAAGTGATCTGCCCGCCTTGGGGCAAAGTCCAGGGATTACAGGCATGAGCCACCATGCCCAGCCAGCGATTACTCTTAAGAGGCCAGCATCAGGAAGGGAGGACACCAGGGGGCAAGGTGCTCCCTCTGTAGATGGGGCAGCTAGAGCTAGAGCATGTGGCCATGCAGTCCTCTTTGGGTGGGTCTAGAAGCATCTTCCCAGGGCCCAGGAAAGGGGTGTCCTATACCAGGGCCAAAGTCCAGAACCCAGAAGGCCTGCTTCAGCCTGCTGCTGTGCCCTCACACAGAGAAATATCTCTGAAAGGATGTTCCTGGGCTCCGGCAGGTTATTTATTTATTTATTTAAGCTGGAGTCTTGCTCTGTTGCCCAGGCTGGAGTGCAGTGGCACGATCTCAGCTCACTGCAACCTCTGCCTCCTGGGTTCAAGCAATTCTTCTGCCTCAGCCTCCCGAGTAGCTGGGATTATAAGCTCCTGCCACCACACCCAGCTAATTTTTGTATATTTAGTAGAGATAGGGTTTCGCCATGTTGGCCAGGCTGGTCTCGACCTCCTGACCTTGTGATCCACCTGCCTTGGCCTCCCAAAGTGCTGGAATTATAGGAGTGAGCCACCACACCCGGCCAACTCCTGCAGTTTTAAATCCACGTGACCTCAGGAGCAGGTGACCTCAGGAGCAGACCTCAGGAGGCACCTCTGAGGTGGCTTAGAGGCTGCTCCCATCCCACCAGCAAAAACGGTGGGGCCCGGAAATGGTCTCAAGCCTCTTCTGTACCCCCAGAGCTAGAAGTCCTTTAAACCAAGCCGTGCTTCTTTATCAGGTGGCCTTGCTGCCAGGAGCCAGCCCTGGACTTGGGCCCTGGGGGCACTGCCAGAGCCTTCCAAGGTCTTTTGTCCGCCTGGTTCATAGGGAGGCAGTGGAAGAGAAGAGACCCTTCCTGGCCAGCCAGGCTCCAGAATGAAGGGAAGGAAAGAAGTCAGGCTGAGCCCCTGAAGGTGCTGTGCCGCCAGAGCTGGGGCCTGCAGGACTTTCAGGGGTTCCTCAGTGATGTGTGAGTTGGGGAAGGAGGTGCTGCCTCACAGCCAGCTCTGCCCCAGCTGCCCCAGCTAGTTTCCTCTCATCTGCATCCGATGGAGTTGTCTAGCTTGCAGGGCTTGGGAATGGCTGGAGGAATGCCCTCCATTCCTCTCTGATGTTTTATTGCCCTCTCCACCCTCACACAGTGGGATCTTCCCAGCCTCCCTTTCACCTGAGATCCCTGATCCACTGCCCACAAGGAGACCTGTGGTGAGTGCCCCTCTCATCTGGAATGACCATGTTCCAGAAGTAGGGGCTGGAAGGGGAACCTGGCTGACCCCTGGTTCCTGTGAAAGAGGCCAGGAGCTGGTTCCTGTCTCTTACACTGCTCCTTCCTGTCATTACAGCCATGGGTGCCACTTCTCTCTGGCAGAAGCCAGGCTGGTCTCTCCACACCTGGGAATGCGTCCTGTGTTTCTTAGGAGAATCCTGTTGATAAGCATCTTGCAGGAGCACATCCTGTGAGTCACTTCTACTTTTTGCATTCCTGTTTTTTTTTTTTTTTTTTTTTTTTTGAGATGGAGTCTTGCTCTGTTGCCCAGGCTGGAGTGCAGTGGTGCAATCTCGGCTCACTGCAAGCTCCGCCTCCCGGGTTCACGCCATTCTCCTGCCTCAGCCTCCCAAGTAGCTGGGACTACAGGCGCCTGCCACCATGCCCGGCTATTTTTTTTTTTTTTTTTTTTTTTTGAGACGGAGTCTGGCTCTGTCGCCCAGGCTGGAGTGCAGTGGCCGGATCTCAGCTCACTGCAAGCTCCGCCCTCCGGGTTTACGCCATTCTCCTGCCTCAGCCTCCCGAGTAGCTGGGACTACAGGCGCCCACCACCTCGCCCGGCTAGTTTTTTTGTATTTTTTAGTAGAGACGGGGTTTCACCGTGTTCGCCAGGATGGTCTCGATCTCCTGACCTCGTGATCCGCCCGTCTCGGCCTCCCAAAGTGCTGGGATTACAGGCTTGAGCCACCGCGCCCGGCCTTTTTTTTCATTTTTAGTAGAGATGGGGTTTCACTATGTTAGCCAGGATGGTCTCGATCTCCTGACCTCATGATCTGCCTGCTTTGGCCTCCCAGAGTAATGGGATTACAGGCGTGAGCCACCGTGCCCAGTCTAATTTCTGTATTTTTAGTAGAGATGGGGTTTCACCATGTTGGCCAGGCTGGTCTCAAACTCCTGACCTAAAGTGATCCACCCGCCTCAGCCTCCCAAAGTGCTGGGATTACAGGTGTGAGCCACCATGCCTGGCTTGGATTCCCTTTTGATGATGGTCTGTGGGGTACCAGCAGGGAACAGCAGGTTGTTTTTGCAGTTACTAACAAGACAGGTTTAGGGGAGCTTTCTTTTCTGCATCAGGACCATGTTGATTCATACAAGAGCCCTCTTTGAGTACCACTTGCCTGTAACATGGGCAAGAGGTAGGGAGATGGGGCAAGGATTTTAGAATCCAAGCCCTCCTCTCCCTCTCCCCAAAGATCTGTTCCACACAAATTTTACCAATTTCCCTTTGGCTCACTCCAGTGCAATATCAGGAAAAGTTATTTGAAGATATCTCCTTAGCTGGGAGCTCCTAAATGCCTGCACAAGCCAACTTATTCCCACCATGTAGCCCTGGCTTGTCTCTTGGGTCCCACCCGGCTCCAACTGTGCACTCCCCATTCTCACTCCCCTGTTTCTCTACGCACAGCCAGCTCAACTTCCTTGGCACGGGTGAGGTGTGTTCTGTTAGCTCCCATGCACGGAAATGGGAGGCTTCAGTGTCCTTACCTTGACAGATAGATGTCCTCTCCGGAGATATGCTGCAGGGATCACAAGCACATCTTGAACGCTGGAGCATCCAGGGCCCAATACCAGGCAGCTCTATGCACACACATGCACATGCACATACATACACAGACACATACACATATATGCACATGCACACATTTTTGCTTAAACACAGAATACAGTTTTCACATTTTGCTTAAACAGAGAATACATTTTGCAAACATTCATGTGACAGACTCTCTCAGGCCACCAGGGGACTTAGGCCTCACTGCCTGCCCCAGACCTCTGTCACCTGGGCCATAGAGGGTTGTGGTGAGTGACACCTACCTCACTTCTCTCGCCTTCCACTCTTCAGAGGGCTATGCTCTCTAGAAAGTTGGGGAAGCTGGCTGCTTAGCTCATGTCAAGTCCCTGGAGTAGGAGGCTGAGTCCATGGATCTCAGGGCCTCCTTCTGAAAGTCCCAAAGGTTGGGGTCTGGCATACTTTGCCCTCCCACGCCCTGGGGACTTCACTGGGTTTCCTCTAGGTCCCATCTCAGCCCTCCTGTGCTCAGCATGCCAACTCCCCACTCTGTCCCCGCCCCTCCCTCAGCATCCCGTCCTATCCATCACTAACCTTCCTGCCTTCCTCTGATGGTCATCTCATTTGAACCTCAGCTCCCACTTCCTACCCATGCCCAACTTGACCACACATGATACCACACACCACGATGGGTCCCCGTTGTGGAAGGGCCCTTCCTTGACCTGCCCTCAACCTCTGGCCAGTGACTTGTCACCAAACCCAATGCCCAGCACCCTCTGAAGCCAGAGGGCTACCCCCAGGCCTGCTGCTGCTCCATAGACAGATGTGCGATACAACATCCCAGTGTCCTCTGCCTCCCTCTCGGCCATCAAGAGCCTGGGCCTCAGGGGCATCTGCTGCATCAGCCTGACCAACGTGGATGGCTCTCCGGCTTCGTACCAGGTGCTACAGTCTGTTGCTTACCACCTGGGCCCACACCTGCAGAGCTTGTCCCTGGGTGGAGGCAGCCCCACAGAGGCCTCCTTTGTGGCCCTGATCCTGGGATGCCCAGCCCTGTGTGTCCTTGATCTCAGTGGCTGCAACAGCCTCTTCACCTCTGGCACACTGCTGGCTCAGCCCGAGATGGCACAGAGCGTCCGGCAGGCCTTGAGTGGCCTCCGTGAGCTCAACCTGGCTGGCCTGCGAGACCTGGCTGACCTCAGCTTCAACCGGCTCAGCAGCTGTGCCCCCAGCCTGGAGCGCCTCTCCTTGGCATACTGCCACCTCACCTTCGAGCTAGGCCCAGTCCGAGGCTCCATCAGCCCCCAAGACTCCTCTCCCTCCCAGTTCTCCTTCCGCAACCTGCTGCGATTTGTGCAAGAGCGGGCTGGCAGGCTGCGTGCCCTGGACCTGAGTGGCACTGGCTTACCACCCGAGGCCCTGCAGGCCCTGGGCCAGGTAGCTGGGCTGCAACTGCAGGAGCTGAGCCTGCACAGCTGCCGGGACCTCTCCACAGAGGCTGTGGCTACCCTGTGCTTCCAGCAACCAGGCCTTACCTCCCTGGACCTCAGCGGCTGCTCAGAACTGACTGATGGGGCGCTCTTGGCCGTGAGCCGGGGCCTGCGGCACCTGCGGCGCCTGAGCCTGGGGAAGCTGCAGCGGCTGACAGACGCAGGATGTACAGCTCTGGGTGGCCTGCGGGAGCTGCAGAGCCTCAACATGGCCGAGTGCTGCCTGGTGAGAGGGCGGGAACTGGCCCAGGCCCTGGGCTCTGTGCACGGGGCTCCATCCCAGCTGGCCTCCCTCAGCCTGGCCCACTGCTCTTCGTTGAAGGTGAGCTCACCATCATCCCCTCCCTTCCTCTCCAGGGCTGAGGACAGCGGGAGGGGGAACCGGGGTGGTGGTGGGCCTGTGGCACCAGGAAGGGACTCCCCAGTGTTCATGCCTATGATTGGCAGTTAGAAATGTACTTGGGACCCAATCTGGAGGAGGACAAGAGCCTAGACAGCTGCTGCTGCTGCCAGCACATCTCCCCAAAGCCCCCATTGTGGGCCTAGGAGGTCCAAGTGGCCAAGGTGACCCAGCCCACAAGGCGGCCAACAGCTCACATGCCAAGTGCATGTGGTCTGGGGAGGGGCGCTAAGGACGAGTGTTCCGAAGCTGGGAGGGCTGAAGAAAGGGGGTGATGGGCAAGGAAGGCAGGGAAGGAGCACTGAGGAAGGTGTTGGGGCAGGGCCTGTGAGGGTGATGTGACAGGAGCAGCAGGGTCATTTCGTAGCCAAGGCCAGGCCCTTTAGCGGGGCTCAGTGCTGTCCCTCTGGGTGGCGCACCTGTCTTGGCAGTGTCAGTCTGTCCCTCTTTAGTGGATTATTTCTTCAGCCTGTCCATTTGACCAGGGCATTCCCAACCTAAAAACCATCTCTCCACCTTGTTACCCTCCAAGTGTCTCTCTTCCTGGCCTTACTCCTCCTTCTCTTTGGCACCAAGCATGTCAGATATGTGGTACAACATCCCCGTGTCCTCTCAGCTGCTGCCTCCAGGCCTCACGTTCTTTTGTCCCTCTGTGCCATCTCGGGCTGAGCCAGCAGTGTGCCAGAGGTGAAGAGGCTGTTGCAGCCACTGAGATCAAGGACACACAGGGCTGGGCATCCCAGGATCAGGGCCACAAAGGAGGCCTCTGTGGGGCTGCCTCCACCCAGGGACAAGCTCTGCAGGTGTGGGCCCAGGTGGTAAGCAACAGATTGTAGCACCTGGTACGAATCTGTTCCCCTCTGTGCATCTCTCTACAAACCAGCCTCCTCTACTCTGCCCTTAGCTCCTGCTCCCCATCCCTAACTGCCCTGTCAGCTGGCAGCTCTACCTCCATCTCATACTTCTGGTTCCAATTCTAGAGGGAGCGACTCCGATTGGCTTAGCAGAGTCAACTGGCTGGTCCAGTGAGCTGTGGTCTGAGGTGGCCTCATTCACTCTTTTGGCAGGGGCTGGGAGCATAGGCAGGGTGGCCACCCTAGGCCCTGCCACTTGCATCCTTCCTGCCCCAGCCACAGTCCAGGCCTTTTTCCTGCAGCAACCCCCATGGCCCACCCTGCCCACTCCCACCTTTCACTACCAGCACAGGGACCATGTTGCTTCCTTCCTTGGACCCTCTGGTAGCTCCCCTCCCTCCCTCCTGCCTATGGGGTGAGAACCTTGAACAGACCCTTCTTAGCTACCCCTGCCAGGCCAGGTGGCATAGGCAACCAGCTGCTGCTCCATCCTGTCTCCTCCCTTCCTCCCTCCTAGGACGCTTCAGTGCTCTCCATGATCCCAGCGCTGGGCCTGAGCCTCAGGGTGCTAGACCTGTCCTCCTGTGTGGCCCTCACCAACCGGACCCTGCAGGCCATCTGCACCTACCTCACCCACCTCTCAGTCCTACGCCTGGCTTGGTGCAGGGAGCTGTGTGACTGGGGGCTTCTGGGGCTGGAGGAGCCTCTGCAGGGGACCCAGGTGCGGGACCCTCGAAGTCTTGGGAGGATGGGGTGGCCCCTGGGCTCAGCTGCCCTCCTGTCCCTTCCAAGTCTCTCTGTAGGAACATTTAAGGGCAAACTCAGGAGGAACCTGAGAAGCAAGGGCTTCTTCCTACAGCCACGCCCAGAGCTGGAGCATCAGGCCTCAGGCACCAAGGACCCCTGTCCCGAGCCACAGGGCCCCTCCCTGCTCATGCTTCGGGCCCTGCAGGAGTTGGACCTCACAGCCTGCAGCAAGCTGACTGATGCCAGTTTAGCCAAGGTGTGGGGCTGCGGGTGCGGGTAGGCTGAGGATCTTGGGGCTGAAGTCAGGGGTCTGGGCCAACCCACTTTTTGCTTGGAAAAAAGTTGACCTTGGAGTTCCTTTTTCATTGGCTTCTGCTGCCTCTAGTCATGCCCTGGCTGGGGTGGGAGGATCTGGAAAGGCCAAGGCTGTGGGCTCCAGTGGCATTTACTTCTCCCCGACCCTCCCCATCCGTGTAGGTGCTCCAGTTCCCCCAGCTGAGGCAGCTGTCCCTGAGCCTGTTGCCAGAACTTACAGACAAGGGCTTGTTGGCTGTGGCCGGGGGCTGTCCTAGCCTGGAGCACTTGGCGCTGAGTCACTGCACCCGCGTCAGTGACAAGGGCTGGGCCCAGGCAGCCAGCTCCTGGCCGAGGCTGCAGCACCTCAACCTGTCCAGCTGCAGTCAGCTCACAGAGCAGTGAGTGTGTCCGATGACACTGGGCAGATGGAGCCACAGTGCAGGGGCTGGGCTGGGTCCCACGCCGGGCCAGACACTCATCCAGTGGCCTCCCCACAGGACACTGGATGCCATTGGGCAGGCGTGCAGGCAGCTCCGGGTGTTGGATGTGGCCATGTGCCCTGGCATCAACATGGCCGCCATCAGACGCTTCCAAGCCCAGCTGCCCCAGGTGTCCTGCGTCCAGTCCCGCTTCGTGGGAGGGGCTGACCTGACCCTAACACTCTGAGGCCGGGTCAGTAACCAGCCCTGCAGCACAGCCTCCTTGACTCCCCCAGTCCCCAACCCTGGCCTTGACCTGGCTTGCCTCTTGCCTCCCTCTACTGCAGACCCTCTAGGACTGGGGGTGGGGCCAATCCAGGCAGCCCAGAGGGAACTTCCCGCCACACCACCTGACAGTAGCCTCTTTCCAGCTACACGTGGCTGCCACAGGCCCCTGGAAATGCTAGCTGCTTGTTTGCCGTCACAGGCTCCTGCTCTCTGGCCAAGCCCTGGGCGGGAGGCCAGGCCCCCAGCAGGCGGGGTCTGGTGCTGGGAGGAGCAAAGCCCCTGCCTCTTGCCTGCCCTCTTCTCAGACCTAAGGCCCAGCTCCACCTACTCCTGTGGGACTCTCCCAGCACCCTGTGTGCACTGAGCTTCAGCAGCTGAGCCCAGGTCTATGTTGTAAACCCTAAGATTAAACATTCCAGATAGTACCTCCTTGTCTTAAATTCTGACTAAAGGGCCCCTCCCCTCCCAACTTCAGCTGAGGGCTCCCGCCCTGGCCTGACACTCCTAGCATCTTCCCCACACAGTAGGAGACCCTGCAGGCTTGGGTGTGTCCTGAGGCAAAGGCACAAGCTGTGTGCTTGTCTCAGCCAGATTCCAGGAACTACCGATGAATGATGCCTGAGTCAATGAGGCTGTCCTGAGGGGGAAATAAGAGGAAAAGAATGAAAGAGGCCAGCATCTCTGGGTGAGAGGGTCACTAGAGGTCACCTAGTCCAGCCCCTTCAATGGTGCTGGTGACTTCTCCATGGCAGCTCTGGCCCTGGGTGTGTCCCCGCACCTCGTCCGTATTCGTGTTCGCTGGTTGTAGCAGCGAGCCAGGGCTCCCTCGGTGCCTGCAGGGACTGTGCTTTATGTGGGGATTCAGAGGGGTCAAAGCTTTCCCAGCCCCAGGGCCAGCTGGGGAGGCAGAGAAGCCAGCTAGCAGGGACAGTCCAGCGTGCAGGGTGCGGGTGAAGAGAGACAAGCACCTGGGACCAGAGCCCAGGGAGCAACAAATTGGGCTTGGAGGGTCCAGGAAGGAATCAGGGCAGTGAAAATGGCCAGAAGAAAGGAAGGGGGTGATCCAGGTAGAAGGCACTGTGGGGGTGCACACAGGCAGGCCACAGCTGTCACTGAGGGGGTAGTCTAGGCAGGGAGGATGCCAGCTCAGACCAAGCATCAAGAACACTGCAAGCCACAGGTGCTCAGGTGAAAGGGCTAAACCACGGTATGTCTGTGACTCACCTGGCTCAACTCAGGTTCAGTCATGGAAACTGTGGCCATTAACCCATGGACATGGATAGGGTGACATCAAATATATGGGATGTTTGTGTGTGTGTGTATGATAAGATTTATATCGGTGAAAGCAGTTGGGGTAGCTGGTATTGAGAGCATTAGAAGTGCAAGACAGGAGGCCGGAAGTCGGGAGGCTGTTGCTATGATGGTGGCACGCACAAGGGACTGGAAACATTAAGCAGGAGTAATTGACGGTTACAGGGAGGCCCCTAAAGGGCCCCTCCCCTCCCAACTTCAGCTGAAGTGGCCCTGGGGCAGGCGGAGAAAATCCTGAGACACACTCCCTCCTCAGGCCTGGCCCACAGTGTTGGGAAGGGAGGCCGACAGCATCAGGGATCCCTGCCCCCATTTCCACCTAGAACTCCATGGCTGACTGCTCCAACTGTGGTGGGAAGTCCTTAGGCATGGGCATGGTAGGCCCTGGATGCCCAAGGATCTGAAGCTTAGCTGGGGGAGGGGGAGCAAGTGCCCTCCAGCACACTCTCCAAAGGAAGTGCCATTTCATCAGTTCTCAAGGTCAGCCAGGTTGACGGTTAACAGTTAAAAACGTTATTGGGGCCAGGTGCGGTGGCTCATGCCTGTAATCTCAGCATTTTGGGAGGCCGAAGCGGGCATATCACCTGAGGTTGGGAGTTCGAGACCAGCCTGACCAACATGGAGAAACCCCTTCTCTACCAAAAATATAAAATTAGCTGGGCATGGTGGCGCTTGCCTATAATCCCGGCTACTCAGGAGGCTGAGGCAGGAGAATCGCTTGAACCCGGGAGGCGGAGGGTGCGGGGAGCTGAGATGGTGCCATTGCACTCCAGCCTGGGCAACAAGAACAAAACTTCATCTAAAAAAAACAAAAACAACAAACAAACAAACAGTATTGGAGCCAGGTGCGGTGGCTCATGCCTGTAATCCCAGCACTTTGGGAGGCTGAGGCAGGTGGATCACTTGAGGTCAGGAGTTAGAGACCAGCCTGACTAACATGGTGAAACCCTGTCTCTACTAAATACAAAAAATTTAGCCAGGTGTGGTGGTGCATGCCTGTAATCCCAGCTACTTGGGAGGATGAGGCAGGAGAATCGCTTAAACCTGGGAGGTGGAAGTTGCAGTGAGCCGAGATCACGCCACTGCACTCCAACCTGGGCAATAAGAGTGAAACTCTATCTCAAAAAAAAAAGAAAGAAAGAAAGAAAGAAAGAAAAGAAATTGGAGGTGGCACTGGGGAGAGAGGAGGTGAATGGCAGGGAGAAGTCTGAGGGGCGGTGGCTTCAACCTATCCTGTGAATTCCACAGACTGATGGGCTCTTCTTTCCTCAAGGGCTTGGGGTCTGTGACCACAGCCTCTGCCCCGTGACCAAACCTCCAGCTGGACCCAATACTTCTCGCTGCTTCTGCCCCCAGGGGCTCTGGCCTGTCTCTGGCCCCCACCCTACCCATGGTTCTGAGTTAGGTTTTTAATTTCTTTTTTGAGATGGAGTCTTGTTCTGTCGCCCAGGCTGGAGTGCAGTGGTGCAATCTCAGCTCAGTGCAACCTCCACCTCCTGGGTTCAAGCGATTCTCCTGCCTCAGCCTCCTGAGTAGCTGGGATTACAGGTGTGTGCCACCATGCCCAGTTAATTTTTATATTTTTAGTAGAGACAGGGTTTCACCATATTGCCCAGGCTGGTCTTGAACTCCTAACCTCAGGTGATTGGCCTGCCCCAGCATCCCACAGTGCTGGGATTATAGGCGTGAGCCAAGCCCGGCCCTAAGTTAGGTTTTAATCAGAATCTGGGGCTTCCTGCACAGAAGTGGCTCTTGTCAGAATCAGCCCACATCCTCCCACTGGCCTGGGGATCTTGAGCCTGCCCTTCTGCCTCTCTCCCTTCAGGCCTCTCACCAGAGACCTCCAAGTCCTACAAAGGATACCAGGCAGGGCCATGCAAGCTTGAGGACTGAGGTCAGACTGTCAGGAGCCTTCTGGAGATGGCTCCCAGACTATGCCCCTGTTAATGCTGTCCAGGAAGGCATCCATTTGGAGCAGTGCCTCCTGCCCTGTCACTTCTCCTGCAGCAGGCTGGCAGCCCAGCCTCTCCCTTGGCAGGTACCCCCAGACCACAGGCCAGCCCTCCCCGCAGGCCCAGCATGGAGGGAGGCTGAGGACTCATCTTGGAGAAGGGCAGCAGTCCCATCCTCTCCCCACCTGCTTCAAAACACCAGCCCCTCAACCGCAGCTGTCAAAGTTTGTGGCCTGGCCTGATGCCCCATCTTATCCACCAGCTAAGTTTGAAGGCAGAAGGGGAAGACTGTCACTGTCACAGGCTCAGCCCACAAGGTTCAGAGCTGGCTCAACATACCCCAAAAGCCAAGCAGACTTTATTTCTGCAGCAGTCTCTGCTGGCCAGGGTGCCTGCACTCCTCTACCCTCCGCCCTTCATGGCTGCTGCAGTGGCCGCAGCTGTGGCCCGTGGCCAGGCACATTGTCAAGGTTCAGCGATGCTGCAGTCATAGCAGAAGTTGAAGTTGGTGGGGGGTGGGGGCACAGGGGGTGGCTGCTCAGGGATGGGCACGTTCTCCAGCTCCAGCAGACGCAGCTTGGTCTCCATGGTCAGCAGCTGCTCCAGGTCCAGCCGTGTCTGCTCGCTGCTCATGGGACTGCCCAGCAAGGCACTGAGCCCGTCTGTCCACAGGTAGAACTGGGGGTGGCACAGAGCCATGAGGGTCTGCCCATTTGCCTCCCCTGCCCACCTGCTGACCTCAGCCTGGCGGACACTCACCTCCCGCTTGGAGGGGGCAATGAAGTTGAGGTACGCCTCCTCCTCCCCGCGGTCATAGCTGATCGAGAAGGCCAACTCATAGAGGTCCTGGGGAAGCAAGGGAGCGGGGACACTGAGCAGAGGACAGGGCAGGCAGAGGCGGGTGGGAAGGAGCCCCTGGCCTGCTGTACCCACCTTGTTCTGCTTCCCGGAGCCCTTCTCCCGGACATGGGGGCAGTCCTTGCCTGTCAGGAGTGCCCTCATGTCGGCCACAGGGACTGCAGGAAGAAGGCTGGGCTGAGCACTGCGGCCCCAGCAGCCCCGGGGCCCAAGGAGGTCTGGGGAGAGCAGGTGTCTGGCCCCCGCCCCTGCCCGCCTTACGTTGCTCAGGTAGACTCTCCAGGGTAGGCGGGCTGGCGCCCTCCTCCATGTCTCCGTACTGCAGCAGCTTGTGGTTGGGGGACAGGCAGCAGAACCACAGCTTGTCTGTGGAGAAAAGGAAGAGGGCCAGAGTGCTGAGAGGTCCTGACACCAAGCCAGCCGCCCTCTGCCTGCCCTCTGCCCCCCACCCATGCCCACTCAGAGACCCTGGCGCCGCCGGCTGCTGATCTTGCGGAAGAGCGTCCCCTCACAGAGGCGGAGCAAGCGCTGCTGGCGGATCAGGCCCATGAGCTCTGGCTTCAGCTTCTCCCGCAGCTCCCTGATAGAGGGGTGTCACTGAGCACATCTGACTTGGGGAGTAGCCCAGGGGGCACCAGGGAAGGTGGGGCTAGGACTGAAGATCCATCCCCGCAAACTCACAGTATAGGGGGAGCCAGTGTGCCCTCTTGGTGCAGCCGTTCGGTCTGCCGCAGCCGCAGCACCTCCCCGTATGTGAGCGCATTCACCTTGGTTCGGAAGAGCTCCAGGGAGGTGGGCTTCAGGGCCAGAGTGCGGGCCAGCTGCTCCCGCACCACCTGCATGACCTGGGGCCGCCCAAGCTCAGCTCAGGGCCTGAGCTCTGTACCCAGATCAGCCCCCTGCCCTGGCCCAGGCCTCCCAGCTCCCACCCCACCCACCTTGTCGAAGTCCTCCTGTGTGGCCCGCATCTCCTTCCAGGTCTTATTCAACAGCTGGATACCCACACAGAAGAGCTCGTGGAAGCTCTGGTCTTGGCCGAAGAACATGGGTGAGAAGTCCTGGGCTGTCTCAGAGCCTGGAGCGGGGGGGCAGGAGGGGCTCAGGGAGAAAGTGCATGCAGCCCCTGGCCCTCTCTGCCCTTCCGTCCCCTGCTCTTAGCCATGCTGTGCCCAGTCCCGGCCACTCACAGGGCTCCCCAACGTGGAGCAGCTCACACAGCAGCACCGTCAGCTGGATACTGCCCCGGGCAAAGGGGCACTCGTGCTTGTCCTCGCGGCTGCTGTTCTCTAACACAAACTGGAGGG